TGCCGACTATAGCAATTGTACTCAGACTTACAAACAAAGGCTATTTTGCAATAATAACAGTGTCTATTTTGTAAATACATTTAAATATGTATTAATATGTAATATATTCTCATTGAAAAGTAAGTGTAATCCGTTTATAGTGTTACGGCTATAAACAAAAAAAAATGTTCACTGACTTTTTGTCGGCTCCTCCCAAACACTTCAGTATAGTGTATTAAAGAAACTTGGAATTCATTAAACTTCAAACGGACAGAATAATGGAAAATAATTTGAGTACCATATAAGCTAGAAAATTGCATCAGCTATACCAATAGCTAAAATATCAATTGCTTAAAAGAAATTGTGCCTGAATGCATCAACACCTATGTTTTTTGGTTCATGAAGTAAACTTGTAGATTGAATTCAAAGAAGCAGAGTAGTGACTGGTAGATTTCCATATTTTCAATGATTAGATGATTTAGTAAGTAGCACATTATGTTTTTCAGGGTTAATTGAATTCTGTAACACAAGCTACAATTCAATATTGATAAAACGTTCAACTTTGGAACAGAAAAGGGCAAGAAACCTCGATCATATCTAATAACCACATTCCAGATAATGTCATTATCCTGTTCACAGTCAAAACTCGTCTGCGGAATGGGAGGGGGAGTTGAAATGGTTCGCGACTGGGAGGTGCAGTATACTGCATCAACTGTTCCCGTTGTGGCCTCCTCTACATCGGGGAAACCAAGCGGACGCTTGGAGACCGCTTTTCAGAACACCTACGCTCGGTTCGCACTAAACAACTGCGCCTCCCAGTCGCGAATCATTTCAACTCCCCCTCCCATTCCACAGACGACATGTCCATCCTGGGCCTCCTGCAGTGCCACAACGGTGCTACCCGAAGGTTGCAGGAACAGCACCTCATATTCCGCTTGGGAACCCTGCAGCCCAATGGTATCAATGTGGACTTCACAAGCTTCAAAATCACCCCTCTCCCTACCGCATCCCAAAACCAGCCCAGCTCGTCCCCGCCTCCCTAACCTGTCCTTCCTCCCACCTATCCCCTCCTCCCACTTCAAGCCTCACCCCCATCTCCTACCTACTAACCTGATCCCGCCCCTTTGACCTGTCCGTCCTCCCTGGACTGACCTATCTCCTCCCTACCTCCCCACCTACACTCACGTTTATTGGCTCCATCCCCGCCTCTTTGACCGGTCTGTCTCCTCTCCACCTATCTTCTCCTCTATCCATCTTCTATCCGCCTCCCCCTCTCTCCCTATTTATTTCAGAACCCCCTTCCCCTCCCCCATTTCTGAAGAAGGGTCTAGGCCAGAAACGTCAGCCTTCCTGCTCCTCTGATGCTGCTTGGCCTGTTGTGTTCATCCAGCTCTACACTTTGTTATCTCAGATTATCCAACATCTGCAGTTCCTACTATCTCTCAAGCTGCAGTTTCGTTTTGTTATCAACACAACAAGTTTTGACTTAATTAATTTAAACCAGGAATTTAGATTCTAAAAACCAATTAAATTTATATATGATGGTTTTGACCAATAGGACCAATCCTATTGTAAGAAATTGTATGTCATCAAGGGTATAAAGAATGGGAACGGTTGCAAAATTGGTAGAGAGCGAACTGCCATCCGCTAGGAGATTAGCTCTCTCAGCTCTTAGAGAAAGCATCACCTAAATAAAGGTACCGCAGCACTCATAGTTGATATTCCTGACAAAAGAGCGCAATGAAGAAGGTGTTACTGACAGAAGATCAATGGAGAAGACACAGAACCTTCCAGAAGATGTAACCTGGCTATAATTTTGAGAAACTAAGTTCTATTTTGTTTAGTTTGGTTTATATAAGTGGGATTTGTATTTATTGCAACAGCATACCATTACACTTCTGTTTTATTCAGGAATAATTAGTAGTTAGAAGAGAATTGTTTGATTTGTTAATAGTTCAGTTAAGTTGTTCACTGTTAGAGTTAGATAAATAAATTGTTACTTGTTGATTATAGAGTGAGTTTCAGGTGTTTATTTCATTTAACCGCTCCTTTATAACAGACTGGGAGTGAGAGGCAGGTTATACCACTTTTCACACTCTTTTAATAAGATTATAGGGTGAGGCGAGCCTTTCTGGGTGTTTCAGTTTTAGTTATCGGAAGTGGGGGACGGAGGGATCAACATCCACTTTATAACAATATTGTAAGGGTCTAGGCCCGAAACATCAGCCTTCCTGCTCCTCTGATGCTGCTTGGCCTGCTGTGTTCATCCAGCCCTGCACCTTATTACCATAACTGTTGGCTGATAAACAATTCCAACAAATACTTCTAGTCTCTTGCTATTTCTTAGGTCCATACACATAGACTGAAAGATCAATATGTAGATTCAAAGATCCTCCCTTATCAATGTACTGATCTCATCCCTTATTAAGAGAATGCTATCCTAGTTCCTTCTCTTTTAGTCCATTCTTCCTAAATACCACATATCCTTGAATATTTAGTTCTCAATCTTGGTTATGCTTGCAGCCAAATCTTGATAATAGTAATAATAATTGAACTATGCACACTCCCCTTCCACATCCCATGAGTTCTTTGTCAACATTCGCCTCCCCAAGCAGCACTAGATACTTGGAGCAAATTGGCCAGCAGTTCCCAACACTGAGATTTCACCCCCCCCCAGGAGGGCATTTAGCTTCAAGAAAGCAACAGAACACCTCAGATGTGATATCATGCTGTTAATTGTCAACATTTTTGATGAAAGCTTAATGCATTCAGATTCAGTACCTTTAATTCTGCTTTTGTAACATTATTCTCTATTCTTTTCCTGTGTAATTCTTGCCTATGTTTTCTTTGTCTGTCAATTTGACATTCTCCTTTTCTACCTCCCACTTCCAGTTTTGCTTCTATCCGATCTGAAACCCCTTTCAGGCTCCTGCTCCCCTGCCAATCAAATTTAAACCCTCACTTACAGCATAGGTATATTTTCCTGTTAACAGATTAATACTGAACCTTCGATGATGAAACCGTAAAGGCAGTCCCAACGCCATTCTCATGAGCATGAGAGAGTGGAAATTATCTGGAGATGATTACTTTGAGGACATGGTTTTTAACCTCATTCTTAGCCCTCTGAAATCTGATTTCAGGACGATGTTGCTGAAGCGAGGCAGTGGATAAGAAATAGTATGGGACAAAGTATATTTCTTGAGAGCAGGGAATTATTGTTGGTCAATGGTAGTGTCCCTACCTCTAAGGAAAAAGGCCAGTATTCAAGTCTCACCTGAACCAGAGATGTGTCACAACATATTGGAAGAGTTTGATTAAAAATACCTATATTTTTGAGAGTGTCCAAGAGTAACAATGAGAAAAATCAAATGTCAACAGAACAAGACATTGGATAGCCACATAGAGGTGGCAGTAAGACTCAAAATTGCAATGTTATATGCACACCCTGAACAAAAACAAGAGATTGCTGGAGAAACACTGGAGGGTTTGAGTTATCAGGAGGGGCTGGGTCTTTTCTCACTGGAACATAGGAGGTTTAGGGATGACCTTATAAAGATTTATAAAATCATGAGGGGCATAGATAAGGTGAATAGCAAATGTCTTTTCCCTATAGTGGGGGAGTTCAAAATTGGGGGAGGCATTTTTTTAGGTGAGAGGAGAAAGATTTAAAAGGGACCTAAGGGGTAACTTTTTCACACCAAGGGTGGTGCGTGTATGGAATGAACTGCCAGAGGAAGTGGTAGATGCAGGTACAGCTACAACATTTAAAAGACGTTTGGATAGGTACATGAATAGAAATGTTTTAGAGGGATTTGGGTCAAATACAGGCAAGTGGGACTAGTTTAGTTTGGGAACATGGTTGGTATGGACTAGTTGGACTGAAGGGTCCGTTTCTGTGCTATATGACTCTATCTGGCAGCAACTCTCTTCTTTAACTTTAAAATGCAAAGTATAACTCTGTTTTTCTCTCAACTGATGCTGTGTTTCTGCAGCACACTACGTTGTTGCTCCTGATTTCCAGCATCCATCATTGTTTATGTTTATTCTAGGTGCGTTTTGGACGGGAGGCTTTTTTTATGTATTAAATATATGTATATATATATAGGAGCATGGACAGCTTCACCCCAGGGTTCAGGTACGGCCATAACAGAGGGTGTGCAGGCACTGCAGTCAGGAACTCCCTGCCCCCCACCCCATATAGAAATACAATATTATGAAGGGTCAGTTAAGATTGTTAAAAGTGGGAGTGGGAATTCACACCGTTAAAATAAAATTCTTAAAAAGTGATATTGATTGGGAATGAGTGCACTTCCATTGGACGGTCATCTACAGTTTCCAACACCAACACCAACAGCTACAACACTCTCCCCTTCCACATCCCATGAGTTCTTTGTCAACATCCACCTCCCCAAGCAGCACCAGATACTTGGAGCAAATTGGCCAGCAGTTCACAACATTGAGATTTCATCCCCCCCAGGAGGGGACTTAGCTTCAAGAAAGCAACAGAACACCTCAGATGTGATATAATACTGTCAGATGGAAACATCTGCCTGATCGCCACTGAAATGTGCAGTTTATCACAGAATCTCTACAATGTGGAAGAAAGCCATTCGGCTCATCAAGTCCATACCGAACATCAGAAGAGCAACCCACCACCCTCCTACCTTATAATCCTGCATTTCCCTTGCTAATCCACCCAGCCTGCACATCCCTGAACACTATGGGCAACTTAGCATGACCAATCCACCTAACCTGCACATCTTTGGACTGTGGGAGGAAACCAGAGCACCCAAAGGAAACCCACGCAGACACAGGGAGAACATGCAAACTCCAAACAGACAGTCACCCCAAGGGTGGAATCAAACCTAGTCCCTAGAGCTGTGAGGCAGCAGTGCTAACAACTGAGCTACCGCACCATGCACAAATCAAAATGAACACTTTACTATTACAAATACTGCACACAAGGTAAAACAAAGAATACTGGGTGGTGAACAATTCCTGATGAAGGGAAGCACTGTTACCTCAATATCTGGTAGATCAATGCTCAGCATTCGAGACATTGTGACGATCAGGAATCAAAAGCTTGAAGAAAATTTCCTCTTCGCAAAAGCGATCAGTAGCTCATGATCTTGCAACTGTGACAGATTCCTGAATGGCAGACTTTTATCGAGTGAAACTGTGACTCACTGTCCTGGTCTAAAGTACATTCAGATTAAGCTTGTTTCAGTGTGGAGGGAAAAGACCAGTTTTCATACTTCAAATGTTTGTTTTATTTTGAAGAAAACAAATAACAAACTTGATAGACAGTATATTGAATTTATTTAAATCTTTATAATAGTTATACCACTGAGATATCACATATGAGCAGTTAGTACAAATAACAGCATTAAGCTCAATATGTCAATCGTTATGGGAAAAAATGTTTATTTAGATTGACCTAGAACTGCAGTGTACATTGAAGGTACACATACCATCATACACTTCAGGATATTTGTAGATTCAGAATTTGGTACTTTTAAAACAATCCAAATCTTTCTGGCTAACTGGATCTGGCTATTATGCCAAAGGTGACTAGCAATGTTGTCTTTATTTGTTCTCACTATTCCTGAATTGGTCAACATATAATTAATTTCCACTTATTTTGTGTGAATATATTCTTGGATTTAGTTATTCCTCTCCCTCTTTTCCTTTGTGGTTATCTAGAGAAAAATAACAGCAAAAAGGAATGCAGGAATAGGAATAGACCATTCAAACCTGTTCCACATTCAATGAGATCACAGCTGATCTGTGGCTCATCAGTATATGCCTGCCTTTGGCCCATATCCCTTAATACCTTTGTTTAACGAAAAAAAATCTCAGATTTAAAAATTAATAACTGAACCAGCATCCATTGCTGATGGTGGAAGAGAGTTCCAAACATCTACCATCCTTTGTGTGTAAAAATGCTTCCTAACAGGAGATAAAAATCTGGCGCTAATTCTTAGACTGTGCCTCCTCATTCTCGAATACCCAACCAATGGAAATAGTTTATCTTTATCTACCCTGTCTTTTCTTGTTTATATCTTGAAGACTTTGATTGGATCATCCCTTAACCTTCTAAACTGTAGAGAAAGCAGGCCTAACTTGTATAACAAAAACAGACATTGCGAGAGAAACACAGTAGCTGTGAGGAGAAAACAGTTAACATATAGACTCTGGTGACTCTTCATCAGAAATCGACCATTCTGATGAAGCTGGATGCCTTGAAATCCGGAGAAGAATGGCCCATCAAGTGTGTTTGATATGGGCAAAACAGTCATCTCACTGTCTCCAAATGATCCTCTGTGCATGAAATCCAGTGGAGACAGGGTTTAACCCTGTTGTAATCAAGCTCCAAACAAGCTTCAGGCGCAATATCTCACTTTTTCTGCTGGAAAATCCCACAGATGTAACATTGTCTTCAATAAATTTAGCCATTCCATTCTCCATATATTTTCTGAGTGTGTTTTGCGTTTCTTGCTGTGTAAAAGTAATGGCATCAGCTGATACTCTAAAGCTAGGTTCCATATCAGAACACAAGAGGTATTTGCTCTGGGTTTGTAGCCCTCTTTTCTCCTTCCTCAGCACCTCCAGAATGTTCTGTCTTGATTTCAAATCTCAAGCCTTTCCCGTTCACCTTCTAAAAATATGTACTTAATCTTTTTCTTAAAAGCACATCAGGTGAATGGTCTTTTAAGGTCCTATAACCAGAAGTTTCCAAGTTAATCTCACAAGTGACACAATTTGTTAGTCCATTTCCTTCTCTGGACTTCATTTTCACTAAAAAAGGCTTTGCTTACTTTCATGTTTGAGGAGTACAGGATTGTAAAGTTGTCATTTATCTTTAAAATCTGCTGCGTTGATGACTCTGTTTTCAGATTTCCAGTAAAAGTAATGTTGCAGTTATACAAAACCCTGGTTAAACCCCACATGGAATACAATGAGCAAAGCTGGGCAACACAAGTTAGGAAGGATATATTGGCCTTGGGAGGGAGTACAATGTAGGTTTACAAGAATGATACCTGGACTTCAGGGCTTATAAGGAAAGATTGTACAAATTCAGATAAAATAAAACAAAGAACTACAGATGCTGGAAATCTAAACCAAAACCAGAAATTGCTAGGGAGTCCTAACGTCCAAAACTGGCACGAAGAGAACCAAGACAATTTCCTCTCAAGTAGTCAACTAAAGTTTCCATTCTAGTCAGTTCTTTGAAAAGAAGATCGCACATAGGCAAAAATCATTGATCACTGCAGTATATATTACAATGTTCCTCCAAGTGGGTACGAGGTTCTGACTGTCATATTTGGAATTGAACAATTGACAGAAACTTGTCCGAAGAGTTATGGCAAGTACTTTATGGTACTTTAAAAAAAATCATTCATGGGACGTGGATGTTATTGGATGGGCCAACGTTTATTGCCTGTCCCTAGTTGCCCTTGAGAAGGTGCTGGTGGTGAGCTGCAGTCCATGTGCTGTAGGTAGACCCAAAATTCCCCTAGGGAAGGAATTCCAGGATTTTTACCCAGCGACTGAAGGAGAGGCAACGTATTTCCAAAATAGAATGGTGAGTAGCTTGAAGGGAAACTTGCAGGTGGTGATGTTCCCATGTATCTGCTGCCCTTGTCCTCCTGGATGGTAGTGGCCATGGGTTTAGAAGGTGTTCTCCAAAGATTTTTGGTAAATTTCTTCAGTGCATCTTGTAGATGATACTGCTGAGGATCAGCAGTGAAGGGAGTGGATGTTTGTGGATATGGTGCCAATCAAGTGGGCTGCTTTGTCCTTGACGGTGTCAAGCTTTTTCAGCGTTTTGGGAACTGCACTAATCCGGGCAAATGGGGAAGATTCCATCACATTCTTGACTTGTGCCTTATAGCTGGTGGACAAGTTTTGGAGGGGCAAGAGGTGAGTTACTTGCTGTAGTATTCCTAGCCTCTGACCTGCTGTTGTAGCCACTGTATTTTTTTGACCAGGTCAATTTCTGGTTAATGGTAATGTCAGGATGTTGATAGCGGGAGGTTCAGTGATGGTAACATTATTGAATGTCAAGGTATGGTGGTTAGGTCATTTCTTATTGGAGATGGTCATTGCATGGCATCTGTGCAGCATGATTGCTACTTGCCACTTCCCTGACAAGACCTTGTTATTGTCTGGGTCTTGCTGCGGTTGGACATGGACTGCTTCAATATCTGAGGAGTCGCGAATGGTGTTGAACATTGTGCAATCATGGGCGAACATCCCCATTTCTGATCTTATGACAGAGAGGTCATGGGGGAAGCAGTTGAAGACTGTTGAGCCCAGGGTGGCTACCCTGAGAAACACCTATACAGATGTTATGGAGCCAAGATGACTGACTTCCGACAACAAGAACTATCATCCTATGTGTCAGGCAAGATTCTGACCAGCAACAAAATTTTTCCAATTCTCATTGACTCCAGTTTTCCTAGGGCTCCTTGATGCCACACTAAGTCAAATTCAGCCTTGATGTCAAGGGCTGTCGCTTTCACCTCACCCTCTGGAATTCAATTGTTTTGTCCATGTTTGAACAATGAAAAGGAATCATATCACGAAAAGGAATCATGGATATAGGACTTGGAGAACATAACCAAATAAGAAATGTCACAAATAATCAAAAGCACTTTTTACATTTATTGACCCTAGGGTCATGCAAAGATTTAAGTTCCGGTAAAGAACATAAGGACAATGCTAAGGGGCAAAACGCAAAGTAAAATGCTATAGTTTCTTGAAATTTAAAAATACAAAAACAAATTTTCAGCAGGTTAAGCAACAAAATTGGAGAAAGAAGACAGAGCTTTTGCTCTGAAAATGGGTGTGATATTAACCCTGGCTTCCTTTGTTGGCTGGCCTGCTGCATGTTTCCAGTGCATTCAATTTTAACTTTAAATCAAAGGAATGTGTGTTTGGTTCACAGGAGCTGCAATTGTTTTCTATGGGAGCGAATTCAACAGGTTCACCATTCTTTGGGTGAAGAAATTTCTCCTCATCTCAATCCTAAATAGTTTACTCTGTAACCTAAGGATACAGAGGATCCTAAGGATACAGACCCCTGGGTCTGGACTTTCACACAATTGGGAACGTGCTTCCTGCATTTCCCATCTAGTCCTGTTAGAATTTCTATGAGATCCCCACCTAATTTTTCTGGAATTCCAATGAATATAATCTTAACCGACAGAATCCCTCCTCATTTGTTAGTCCTGCCATCCCAGGAATCAGTCTGATAAACTTTCACTGCACTCCCTCTATAGCACAAAAATCCATCCTCAGATAAAGAGATCAAAACTGCACACAATATTCCAGGTGTGGTCTCACCAATGCCCTGTACTATTGCTGTAATACACCCTTGTTCTAATACTCAAATCCATGCTCTATGAAGTCCGAAGTACCAATTTCCCATTTTCCCGCCTGCTTACCTTACCTGTAGGAACTTATAGTAATAGGATCTTGCACCTATCGTCGTCTATTATGACCTTGGATGATTATATATTAATGAAAAATACTAATGAGGCAATGTGCTTGCATTTGATAGATATCTTTTAATAAAGATAAATGCAGTGTTATGATTATGAGTAGGGCGAATGATCAACATGTGTACACCATTCAGGGCTGTGAACTTAAGGCAGTTGAACCAGAGAAAGACCTAAAAGTTATTGTTTAGTTCAAAACTATTTGCGAAAGCAAAGCAAATAGAGTTCTTAGAATTTTTTGACAAGATCAAAGATAAAATAAAAGCACTGTCATTGAATAAGACCTTGGTTAGGACATATATCTAGATAACTCATAGTTGATTTATTGGCCCTGGAAAATTTCACTTTTATATCATCTTTAAATTTTCTTTTCTGTGTAGTCATCATATAGAGATGAAGAATATTCCATAATTGAGATACAAGGGCATTGCGAACAACATCTTTAGTTTATTTCCACGGACTCCCAACTCTCCATAGTAATAGTTCAATTATACCCATTTTAAAAATAATTAACACCATTTCCTTTTTGAACGATGAAATGAGATATGATAATTGTGACTTCTTTAAACTCATTACAAACAATCACAGTTTCATGTGATTTTGGCTGG